AAAAAAAAAAAACTATTATTACTAAAATTACATTCCATATATTCAGCTTTAGATCTACTCAAATAAATGCATTTAGACTTAATGATCACATCCATAATTCAAGTTTATCTTCAACTCCCTCTCTAGTCTTATCAATAATAAGAATATCATAAGCAAATAGCATACACTAGGGAACTATCTCTTGCAAATGTCTAGTGAGAACATCCATGACTGAAGCAAAAAGAATGTATCTTTAAGTATTACCATAAGAGACGGATGGAGTCGCGAGAACCGATACATGCGAACAAAGATCAGCTCACCTTAATAGCAGCGGAGGCCAAGAACGGTGGCGGAAGCCAAAAACAACGGCGAACGGTCGGCTAAGGTTGGCGAGGCATCGGTCGCAGCTAGACAACGAACAAAGAACCAAATGAGAGAAAATGAGAAGGAATGGGCCGAAGCTAGGAAATAGGTCTCGTTCCATCGGAATTACCGACAGATAATACGCCGGTCAGGTTTTCGGTGAAATATACGCCGGTAATGATCAGTTGTTGTGTTTAAATAAGTCGGCGGCTAATTCGCCGATAATTTCCGGCGAATTATTTGTCGGTATAACAAAATCACTGACGAATTAACCGGCGTACTCATATACAACGGAAACGTACCAGCGTAATATATGCCGGAAATATTCTGGCGAAATATCTGCCGGTTCAATCGCCGTTTTAAACGATATATGAAGATCCGTCGGAACATCCGCCGGAAATAAGCAGTTTTCTGTAGTGACACTCTCAAGAATCAAGCCTAATTGTAGTTGTTCTCTATTTCTAGTAGGACTATTCGGCCACAGCTACTCCAATCTTATTAAATCTTTCATTAAATAGTTCATTACAAATTAAAGGATTATTAAAGACTCCTCTAATTTTTTTATATTCTCTGAAATGAGAGAGAGACCATTTATACTCTTCACTCATACCAGAGAATTCATTCCTTTATTAATCTTGTTCTTCTAGTCGAAGCACAAATATTTGTTGATAAGATTATTAACACCTATCAGAAGCAATTTGAATAATATTCAAGTAAATATTAGAATCATAATAATAGATTGATATTTGATAGGCCTCCCTGACAAAAAAAATATGAGTAATCAAAAGACTAAAAAATGTTCATCTCAGAAAGATCAATAATCTCAACAACACCACGAAACAACTGATTATGCTTCATTAAATACATTCATGGCTAACTTTTGAATGGAGATTCAAAGTATTAAACATCTCAGGCCAGTGGTTAAAGTCACTAAAAGGCCAAAACAATGAAGTCCAAACTCAAATATTGTAACTTTCACCTTTCAGCAGAGTATTTGATAGGAAAAAAAAAAATCTTCATCTAAAATAAGAGCTTGAGCATTTAATTAGTTTATCAGAATCACTTGATCAATTGTGTATGGTAGTTAATAATATAGGAAATCAAAAGATTTATGAAAAGAAAATTATTGAAATTATTAATATTATTATAAGAATATCACCACACCTATTTATCCTCATGCACATAATAATTTGAAAAAAAAATCAAATTATTTTTTAATAATTCTGATTTTAAGAGTATATTATCTACATCAAGATGATTTAATCATCTTAGTTTGAATTTGGACGTCTGTTATTAATGCTAACACATGTAGTTAAGTGGATATTTTATCCCTAGCTAGCTTCATTCATGAATCTTGGATTGATCCATGTTAACTCTTTATCTCACTGGATTCTCTTATCATTGAGATTCCTAAAATATATATCAATAAGCTGATATAGTCTCTATTGCCAGCAAATAACTAAATATTTATCTTTTCTAAATAAATTTCTATTTAAACTGTCATGCATCTCGTAATAAAATTTTCTCATTTTTTAAAAAATATCATATATAATATTGAAAAAAAATTAATGATGTTGTTATAATATATATATATATATATATATATAATTGATACATCACCAATTTTATTGGCTTAATTATATAAATATTCAATTTTTGAAACTTCATCTCACTTAAAAATTATAAAAAGGCATTTTGGAAGTTTAACTATCAATCCTTGTCAATTTTTTATGAAAAGAGTAAAATTGTTCTCTTCTTGAAAATTCAACTTTAACAATGAGTAGAATCAAGCAAATGCATTCCTCCTCTAGGATTAAAAGTGAAGAAAGTTTGGAAAAAGAATATTCCTTTTCTCTTATCCACATTCAAAGTTCTATTATCATCAATAAACTTCACAAGTTCAATGATGAAATTCTCGATAATACAAGAAGATACATGACAGAAATAAAGAAGATGCATAAATGTGAAGTTTTGAAGTATGAGTTTTGTCCTGATCAAAAGATTCTACTATTTGATTATAAGAAGAAGTTTTGCCATGGAAAAATAAAATTTGGATGGATTGACTCATATACTATTATCAAAATATATCTTAATGGTGTCATTAGCATATAAGATAAGAAAACTTTTCATATTTTTAAGGTCAATGGCGTAGATTAAAACCATGTGGAGTATAATTTGGATGAATAATGGATGTGTTTTTGTATCTTGATTTTATTTCATATATATTTGAGAAGAAATGCACTTATGTAAATAATTGGTATATGTAGTTGGGACATGACTTATTGCTTTGGCTTTTGAAGCTATAAATAATGATATGTATGGTGCTTAGTACACTTGTTATCCTGTAATTCATATTATGTTATAGTATGTTTTGTTATATTTTATTAACACATATTTTATGCGCATTTTATTATTCATATGAAAGTATATATGTGCAGTGTTCATTATTTTTATGTTTCTTTTATTTATATTTTATTAAAATTTCCCTTATGCTTATTATACTCTTCATTAATTTTTATATTCTAAATTAATTAATTAACTTTATTATAAATGATAATTAAAAAATATATAAAATTAAGATCATAAAAAACCCTAGATCATAGTTTAAATGAACAATATTTATACTTCATGGAGTGGAAAAGAAATTAATAATATCTAACATAGATCATTTAAGTTATTATTTTAATTTAAAAGATTATAAGTTAAACCTTTATTTATTAATATTTAAAATAAAAGAATGTAGGGCAATTTTAATTTTTATAGAGTGAGAATAGGTGGTAAGGTGCCCTAGCCGCCTCTTCTTCCTCGCGCTTGCTGTTTTCTTCTTTGCATGTCCGCCACCGGCTCTCTGCCGGTGGCTCCCATGGATCTGCTGGACTCTTCTATGTTCCCATCTTTGGCTCATGTTCCCGCTTCGGCTTCGGCTTCTCCTGCGAAGCCCCGTGAGTTAATCGCTTATGGTCTTATATTATCGCAAAGCCTGCGCCGACAGCTCCTCATATTCCTGTGTCTCTCATGGAAACCCCGGAGGAGATCATCCCGTTTGATGCAGATTTAACGGAACCTGCCGCTGTAGAATGGAATCTCTGCTTGGTAGGTTACTCAATCGGTAAGCATCCGTATTATGAAGCTCTTAATGAGACTGCGAAACGTATATGGAAGCTCAAAGGTACTTTCAAACTCATTGCTCTTACGGATGGGTTTTTCTTGTTCAAGTTCTCTTTGTTAGAAGATTATGAAATGGTATGGTCGAAAGGGGCGTGGTTTTTTCACGGCAAGCCATTCATTTTTAAAAAATGGACAAAAAATTTCCACCCTACAAGAGAAAATTTCACTTCTGTTCCAATCTGAGTTAGGGTTCACAATCTTCCTCTTGTCTGTTGGAACTCTGAAGGCATCTCCAAAATAGCATCTAAAATTGGTATTCCTATTGCAGTTGATGCACTAACTGCTGC